GGCCACGAGTGCGCCCACGCCTCCTGACCGCCGATGATGCGCGTCGCCGCTTTCTGATGCGCCACAAACGAGCGCACCCCCGCCAGTTCTGAGGACACGCGCGGCCCAAAGTCAGGAAGGAAGCTCTTGTACTTTGGAGCCGAATGATAGCGCCTCGTGTGGCGGTACCTTGACTTACGAGTTTAGCCCCCCCCCATTCCAATTCTATTCATCTGTTGACTTTGGTCCATTTCCTTTCACAGCGTCACATCTGAGGCCCCCACCCACGCAACTCGCAGTTGGTCCAGCGAACCCGAAAAGCGGCGAATCCAGCCGGCCCCCGCCGGTGAGCGGGAAAACCGGTAAGTCAAAGTGCCGCGAGAGGCGTCCGAAGCGGTACCGTAGCGTCCCGCGAAATTCCCCGAGTGGCGCTGGTCTCGGGGTGCTCCTCGGGTCACGTTTCCCGCGTCCGCTGTCAACGACAGGAAGAAAGCGCGCACTCAGAGCGGACGCACTTTGACGACAAACCGTTTCTCACCGGAACCGACGCCCAGTCCGGCCAGCAGAACGAGCGCGAGCAGCAGCGGCGGCGGCGGCATGGTGAAGGTCAAACGTGCGGTGCGTCGCGCCCACTTAACGGAGACCATCCGAACGGCTGCGCGTCCGACCGCGCCGAGCCGACTTAAATGGGCGGAGGGCGCTGTGACGTCATCCTCCCATCGCCAGCAAAAGGCCGCCCCGGCGCGGTGACGGCGACGCGCCGAGCGGGAGCGTCCGACGCGCATGACGCGGGATTGTCCCACGCGCGCGACGGCTCCGTGAACGCACCTCGCTCGCCTCGGTCGCGTTCGAGCGGGCTGGAGAGCGACTGCGGACGAAGCGCCCCTTTTTTCGCCACCTTGCGTTGTTCCTCCTCCTCCTCGTCGTCCGGGCGGGAGAGGCGTGTCGCTCTCCGCCGGGAAGGTCGCGCACGACGGCGCGTCGATCCGAAGCGGGCTCGCTTCGGCTCCTTTCGGGCCTCGCCACCTTTCGGCAGCGAACGTCGGCGGCGGCCGGTGACGTCACGCCGAATGGACCCCGATCGGATCGGAACCGGAGCCGAGGAAAAGCGGTCGGCGTCGCCAGCGCGATGGAAGATTCGACGTGAGACAGGCCGCCGGTACCGGTACGTGCAGTTCACCGAGTGAGCGCGCGGACTCGCCGATTGACGGATTGATCGATGGAATTGAATTGAAGCTCCGCGCGCGACACGATTGGCGTCCTGAAAGCGACGAGATGTGGATTATGCCACGCCGATGGAATCGGAGCACGCGCACAATCGAATGACAGGCCGCCCCACAAGTGTGCTTCATATTGTGGCAATCCAGGGAAGCCTGCGGCGGCGGCGGCAGCATTGGGACGGAGGACGACCAGCAACCCACTGCACCAACGTGGGAATCTCCGAATTTGCAGTTTGCCATGAAAGCCGCAAGCTGAAGGCACACGGACAAACCTGAAAGCTCTCCACGCCCAACAATTGCTCTCCTTTTCAGGTATGGAGTCTTGAGCGATGTGCAACGCGTTCCAATCCGCGAGTCTCCCGTTTGCCACGTTTAAATGCAAGCGTGCGATGCAAACCAAAACATGAAGTAGGCCGCCACCAACATTTAGTCTGAATAGTATTTGTGATTCCAGCGTTTGACAGAGTCAAAACGATTCATCAGCCGTCTGCTGAAAAATCAATCGACGAGCTTCCATTTTTGCTCCTCAACGCTAACCATCAAGATTTGAATTGACGGGCAGAGCGCTTGCCGGCTTTGCAACGCTTTGTCCTTTTGTGTTTGTTTCACTTTGCAATGGAGACGAAAATTGTCCCAAAGCCGCTCAATTGGATTGAATCCGTTGATTGATTTTTGTGTGTGTGTGTGGGGGGGGCGGGGAGATGAGTGTGTCGTTTTGGGAGGAAAGCTGACGTGGAAGCGGCCCCGGAAGCAACCCGCAGGCCAGCGTCCGTGGATGAGCGCCGCTCTCCGGAGCTCACGGAGACGCACGCGCGGGCGCTACGTGAGCGAGTGCTTTTGCGCTTCAGGTCCCGCCGACTGGCGAGCGGGATGGAGCCCCAAACCTCCGAGCGCGGCTTCGCCGTCTTCTTGCTGAGCAACGCCATGCTGCTTTCCGTGACGGCGCCCGTCGCAGGTACGCCGCGGCTCCGCTTCGTCCCGGGAGCAAATTGCCACGCGCAAAATCTTTTAGCTCGGCCGCCGCCAGCCGTTGGCAGCGTGAAACGTTGGCGCCGGGCGCCAAATACGTTGCGTCACGACCGCGAGACCGAACCGCCGGCTAACGTGAAGTCTTCTCGCGGCGGGCGCCGCGCCGGCGGCGGCGGTCCGGCGCAGGATTCCGGCGCTCAAGGCATCCACCTGCTCCTCCGACCGCCGGCCCTCCTTTCCCCCAGCCTGACCCCGCCGCTGGCCACCCGCAAGGGGGCCACCCCGGCCCCCTTGTCGCCGTGGGAGCGGAGCGAGTCCCTGGAGGAGGCCTGGGCTTCGGGGGATTACCTGGAGACACTGTCCTTCGTGCTGCCCGACGGCGAGGACCTCGCCCTGGCCACGCCTCTTCCCAGCCACCCCTACGACGACGACGGCGACGGCGCCTTACACCGGCACCCCACCCCGCCGCTCCACTCGCGCGTCCTCTTTTCGCCCTCGTCAAGCGCCCGCGGCGGACCGCCCCCGCCCACCCGCCACGCCCGCCCGGACGTCTTCCCCGCCTGGGACGACGACTACGACCCCGAGGACCTGACGCCGCTGCGGCCGACGGAGCTTCTGCTGCCCGACATGAACAGTTTGGAATACTACAGCAACCTTCTGGCGAAGGAGCGGGCGAGGGAGGATGCCCCCGGCCCCCCGGGCGAGCGGGAGGCCCGCGTCCCCCGACCCTCCGTCCCGCCCGCGTCA